AATAGGATATATCTTTATTTATAAAATAGGAATGTTGGTATTATTGCTTACTATGTCAGTTTTGGAGCCCATTTTGTCAGACGTTCATTTTTGCATAACTTACGAAAAACTTAATTATTGCAAAATTGCAAACAGTATTATAAAAATTGCTTATACTATCTGATAGAAGACACTTTTTGCTTTGTATTTATGTTTTTGAAGTTGTATTTTTACCTTCTGTTTAAGAAATATTGTCTAAAAACAAAGTGGTATGTCGGTATCGGTGACCTTCCTCTACGTATATACTTACAGCACAAATTTAAATATAATTATGTGATTTATAAAGTATCTGTTATAAAATAAAAATATTAATTGTCGCAAACAATAAGGTTATAGCGAACAATGACCCGAACACCGAATCAAATGAGTGTTTGGCCCGTGTTCGATGCAATCGAGAAAATGTACAAACGAACTACGAACATGAACGCGAATGTTCGAATGTTCGCATTCGCTGTTCGTTCGATGTTCGTTTGCTAGATGTATACGTGGCTTAAGATCTTTAAAGTGTGTGGTAGCCTTATATTATACGCTAACGTTGAGCTAATTGCACACTTGTCTGAACACTTTTCAATTTGGCATATATTGGATTTTATTTTGTCATTCGTACCGATCATGTATGTAATATGCATGTGTTTATATATAGAGTGTTTAATAACTCTCCTGACAACGCTCGTGAGCAGGTAGAGCGGACTAAACTGATTGTGAGACGAAAAGTCCTCTACCATTTTACAATTTTCGCAATAGTTAACAAGATACTAATTATTAAAAATCGCCAAATATTGGTTTTCAATAATTTTTTACTCAAGTACTATTAGAGAGAGAGCTTTACGAAAAAATAGCAAGAGACAAAAATTGTTTATTTTTTTTTTATAAAATTGTGAAAGTTTTTTTAGATATTTTTCAGAATTTTGTAGTACTGCATTTTCATAATCGACCTGTTTATATAAATTTTATAGTATATTTATCTTATTATAGTGTCTTCATGCGGCGTAAGATGAGGAAAAATTTACAAATCATTTATGCTTACTATGACATCACATCAGGATTACGAATTCTTTTAACAAGATTCAGTGCTTCAAGACCGACATCTGTTTATCCAAATTTTACAGTATATTTATCTTACTTTATGCGGCATAAAATAAAGAAAAATTAAAAAATTATTTAAGCTTTCTATAGCATCACATGATAAATGCAAATGTGCATCATTATATGTATTATAGAAAATGTATCGCTAAATATATGCACTATCTTCGCGTGAAAACACAAAGAAATTGCTTGTGTAAAAAGAAAATAATCTGACGTATTTCAGAGTCGATGCGGTAATCTCTGATTCGACTGAAGTTAGTTCCCCTACCAAGGCGGCCGGATATACCATATAAGTTCGTAACAATTGACCCTGACGAACAGTATGAGATAATCTCTCAACGCGCGACACTCGTTCCCAGTGTATTTTAACTCGTAAACGCAGCGCTGGTGTTACCAACATTAACATCAACCTTTCGACAAGTTGGCTGAAAGCACTGCTGTCATTTAATATTTTCTAGTTATCATTTATATTAATATCTCGCATGCATAAATTTGTGACAAAAAGAGTATGTACATTCCAATATTATCAACAAAGTTCGAGTAATAAATTGTATTTTTGTACCAAAAAAAATACTCGTGATTCTCAATTAGTAAGGGCCCGGTGGTAAGAAAGTCTTGTGATAATTATTACTTTATTTTTATGCAAAAATAATTTTATTTTATAGTATAAAAGATTATATGAATATACGAAATTATATAATAGATACTACAATACGCACTGTTGTTAGTCAGCAAAGAAAGAAACACATATACTGTCAAATAGCTATGTGTCTCTTTCAATTCGCGCTGCACATGCGTGATAGACGTTGTTTCGCACAAAGCAACTAATATACGTACATGCGAATAGAAAGAGACACATATACCGGCATTCTTATATCATCAAGATCGTTTTAAGTACAATGTTAAGATGTCATGAACCAATCAGAAAGCCATATTAGTATCTTAGGACATTACTTAAAGTAGTCTTAAAATAAAAACCAACTATGAATACCGGCTATACAGCCAAATTAGTATCTTAAAATATTTTAATTAAGATGATCTACTAAAATAAGAACCGACTATGAATACCGACAATAATCATCCGAGATATGCCTGAGAGTATCCCCCTTCCCTTACCTCCTCTCTCTCCTCTCTCTCTCTCCCGCCCCTCTCTCTTTTTCTCTCTCGACAGAAACTTCGATTTACAAGCAGTGCATGTTCTAATATTATACATGTTCTATGCGTGACTATAAAAAATGTCTAGACATTACTTATTAAATTACAGCGAATTAAAATAGAAGTATTTCATAAGTATATAAAATACATTATAACATGTTTTATTCTGAGTTAATTATTTCTACAACAACAATAATAGAACTTTCTTTAGAATATATAGAATAAAACTGTGATCAGCATATTTTGTTTCGTTGATTAAAAAATTATTCTGTTTACTTAAAATCGAACAGCAAATATGTAAATATTTCTTATATTTTCCAAATTATTTATGTTTGTACTTAATTTTTTGCTAAGTCACGTATAAATTTTCGTCAGAATTTTTTATATCAACTTTTTAATACTGCATTTTCTCATTTTTATCAACGTGAGAAAATACGGTATTAAAAAATTCTGAAAAAATTCTGAAAAAATTCTTAGAACTCTAGAGAAGAAAATAAACAATTTTCATCTCTTGCAGTTTTTCTGTAGTTGATAGTATTTGAGTACAAAATTATTGAAGATCAATTTTCGACAATTTTTATCAATTAATATCTTGTTAACTATTGCGAAAATTGCAAAGTGGTAAAGGACTTTCCGTCTCAGTTTAATCCGCTCTACGTGTCCACGAACTCCGTCAGAACAATTATCGAATATCCTGTATAAAATCAAAATTTTGACTCCTATCCCACTCTGCTTGGGGGCACACGACTTTCATCTGAAGCGACTTCCACCCCACTCCCCCCTCCCCCGCTTGAGGGCGCGCGACTTTCATCTGAAGCGACTCCCACCCCACCTTCCCCCTGTCTGAGGGCGCACGACTTTCATTTTTTGAAGCGACTCTCACCCTACATCCCCCTCTTCTTAAGGGCGCACGACTTTCACCTGAAGTGATTCTCACCCCACTTGCCCCCAAGCAGGGGGAAAGGTGGGGTGAGAGTCACTTCAGGTGAAAGTCGTACGCCCCCAAACAGAGGGAGGGAGGTGGAGTGGGAATCGCTTCGCGTGAAAAATTATTAAATATACTTTAAAACAGAAAATTTTTGTTTTATATGGTGGAAAAGCGATATCATATACGTTATTTTTTTAAACTTCTTTTATTTATAACTTTTTAACGAGTGACGTCCGACGGTTAAAACTTTCTCAATGTTACTCAGGGTCATGACCTCAACAACATATGTCAAGGTCAAGGTCATGGAGAGGGGTTCCCCTTAAACTACAATACATATTTACTAAAATTTTTTCCTTTTTTCCGAGTACCTCGATTCTTTTGAAGTACTAAACTTTCTAAAAAAAGCAACTTATAAAAAATTACGATATCTTTATAAAATTCTATTTCTAAAGAAGCTGATTTACAAGGAAAGGGATCCAACTGTCCCCCTCCAATCTTAATGAGCTTTTAGTATATTATTCTCCAGACAAAAATAAGCGACACGTATTTTTTTATACGCGCCCATATGCACTTTTAAGAGGTGAAATACCTTTAAAAGAAAATTGGTTTTTCTCTTTCAAAGCGAAAATCGTCGAAACTGTAAGAGATAGAAAAAAATTTTCTGAACAAAAATTGAATAAATTCGAGAGTACTTTAGAACTATAACAAAAAAAGTTTTTTTTATAAATAAATAATTTAAAAAACATTTTTTTTATTATAGTTCTAAAGTACTCTTGAATTCATTCAATTTTCGTTCAGAAAATTTTTTTCTATCTCTTACAGTTTCGACGATATCCGCTTCGAAAGAGAAAAACCGATTTTCTTCTAAAGGGTGTTTCACCCCTTAAAAGTACGTATGGGCACGTATAAAAAATACATGTCGCTTATTTTGTCTGAAAAATAACATATTAAAAGCTCATTAAGATCGGAAGAGGACAGTTGGGTCTCTTTCCTTGTTAGTTTATCTCAAAATATATTTATCAGTCTTTCTTTACACACATGATTAAACAAGATTTTACATAACATATAATATAATTCTAACAATAGGTCAAAATCCAGTTTTCAAACTGGTTATGGGAAATTTGGTATTGGAGTGTAACCACAGGAGGAACGTATGTCTAAATTTGAAGTTTTTATATCACGCTTGCTGAAGAAGGCTAGAAGTTTATAGCCGAAACGTTCGACAAATAAATTATCGATATAAATTATACAAAAATATTGTTACATCAATCTTAAAAAAGCGCAATTATTACAGCGCCAATTCCTAATGACCCATGTTTAACTTTTCAATTCTTGCGATAAACTTTTGTTAAGTATTTTTTTCTTGAATTTGTATGCTTTCCCAAAGATTTAGAAATTTACATAATACGGTAACGTTTTCATCGCCTTTGAAACAGAATTAAATAAAGCACCCCCCCCCCCCCCTCCCCTTTCTCTCTTTCAAAACATTTTTAAAAAAGATAAAAATCTATCATACACATCAAAAACATTTTACGCTCAATATAATAATATAATACATATAAATGATATGATTTCCTTTTTCCTTAAAGAATTCAAGATAACGAATGGTAATTTAAGTAAATTTATGACAAGCATTCAAGTCGGTTCTTATATTCAAGACCATCTAAAGTATATAGTCTTAAAATGTCATAAATCAATCACATGTTCGTACTAACATCTTAAGATATAACTTAAAACAGTTTTGAAATAAAAATCAACTGTACTGACCGATTATATCGAACTATATCGAACTATACTAACCTATGTCTTTTTTCTCTTTAGATTTTCAAATTTTATTTTTTGCATTTAGTTACTACACGTATTACATATATCTCTATTAATAGTATATTAGAAGACCGGGATCAGTTGACTATAGGGGTAAGTAGAATAATCAAGGCTACATTAAAAACAAAACACGCGAGACACGCGTAAATGTATCTGAGCACGCAGTAGCGACTGCCGCTATAAGTCTGCTGTAATATCTTGTTGCGAACACATCTATGATATATGTGTAGAAGTTATGCCACAATTTAAAAAAATCGTACACCTAAGTAAATATTTTTATTCTTAAACTTTTTGTTTTACAATTGTATATAACTATCTGAGATATTTGATTTCTACTTAGATAGTAAGTAGTTCTTACTTAATAAAATCCAACAGATTTTTTTTGTTTATGTCTTCGTTATCGTATATTGTTAATATTTTTAAAAAGTGAATGGATGGGGATAGTAGACTAACCACAGCATGGAACTGTATGATTCATTTAGTGACGACTCTTATAGTACTTGCTCAAAATTTTATTCCTTTAAAGAGATTTTCCTCTTTAAAGTGGTAAATGTTATAAGTTTAGTTCCTTCATGTGTCCAATCTCGAAAACTAGGCTCATTCGACGTGTTTTTACACGAAATGAACAAATTTTTGCAAAAAGAATTGTTTTGCCCTGCGAAACGAATGTTTGTGTTTAAAATATATTTTTATAAAAGTTTTATTAATATGTAGCCAAAGATATAGCTTCAGATACATTAATCTTTATTTTAATAATCTTAATCGAATTACCCCGGTCTTAGGGCTAGTTGAATCTGCAGATAGAATGCATTAGAAAAATGCATTTTTTTCATATTAGTTATCACTTCTCCTTTATTATTAAAATATTATTAGGTAGTTAAATGTATGTAGTAACTGGTGTAGAATTCATTTTTTCCGATAAGTCTCTTAATTTCGTCTGTAAAAATTCGAAATTGAAAAATGAGTCTATTAGCCCCGGGGTCTCCTCTACTTATCTTTAGCGTATTACCTATTAATAGCATATTACCTATCTCTCTTTCTCTTCTTGCGGCTTTCAACCAGATAATAAATGCCTTAAATAGATTACAAGATTACAATAAATCAGTGCAGAAATTTACATGCAATTTTCGACTGATTTTTAGTTTGATTTCCGCCTCTTATCTCATCAATGTACGCGCAATTTAAATGCCGATTTATATGGTGATTTTTACAGATAACAATAAACTTGTTATCAGTTTGCTAAAAGCTTGTAAACATGTAATGTTAAAGTCTATTTCATAGAATCATTCTATGCCACGAGTCATAGCTGTGAAACTAAAGTCTTCTCTCTGAATAATATCAAATATCTTTTTTATAAAATACATATGAAATTAAAATTGTATTTTTCTACATTTTTCAAAACTCGACCTTTCTTCATTTTAGTCATTGCATATTTTTATCTAAAAGCTTCGTCCTGTTCTACTAAACTTTGCTTTTTCTTGTTTAACAAAAAAAATGCAATATATTTAATAATTTTAAATAAATCTTTTTTAGAAATATACTGTAATTCAAAAAAGAATAATTCCTTACAAGACAAACTAAAACGTTATTATTATATAATATGCAATTCATATCGTTATGAGAAAATTCGTAATAAAATTATATTCTTCTCGAACATATTGCATAAAAGCCTTTACTAAAGTAAATAAATTGTTATATAATAACGTAAAAAAAAGAATGTGTAAAACAGAATCTATAATTCAAAAGAAAGAATAACCTGTGAATGATTTTTCTTATATTATCTTACATAAAATAAAATTGATTGTATTTTGTGATATTCATGCTGCCTGACACAATACCGGTTTCTATCAAGACTAATTTTAATCTTGGTTCAACTAACTCCATCTTTTCCTAGTTCCAAAAATTAAAAAAAGATGAAGAGTAAAGTTGAAACAAGATTAAAGCTAATCAATATTAGAAACAGGCATAAGCCGCACATTAATATTGATTCTTATTTTTTTTCGAAATCAAAGAGAGAGATGGCATTTCTTACCTAATCTTATTTTTAAATTTATAAATCCTTAGAATAAATGCAATATCTCAAGAAAAATTAGTATTTGAATAAAATTTATCATAAAATTAAACTGTTATAAAAATTTGTTCAACTATACTGAAGTAAAATAAATGCATTTTAAAATAATTAATCTTTATCTTAAGTCATTCAAAAACCAGAGCTTTAAAGATATTATAAATTTAAAATTTTTATGTAATAAAGTAGCATAAAATATAGAAATTTGAATTTCTTAAAAGGTTTCACGGCATTAAAGACTAATATAAATTCATATTTTACGTAAAAAAAAATAAGAAGTACTACTTTGCTGCTGTTCGATTTCATTCATATTAATTTTTAAAAGATGAAACTTCCTCTACATAAATCGCAAAACATAGTTTGCCGATGCAAAATGACGTATTATCACACACAAGATACACACAGATACAAATTAACCGCACGCAAAGAATTGAACTGTGACAGCGTTGACATTTTAATTTAAGTTAGTTTAGAAAAACTTTTACTATATATTCTGTGATATTTTTCGTATTATGGAAATTTATAAAAAGGATGATTCTCTGCTGATAAATGAGCAAATACAAAATTTATTTCCGCTACTGTTTGCTGTTCTATCATTGGTCAACTCAGTCGCTGCAGCGCAGAAATTAACGTGACAGTCCATATATGTTGCTATTTGCAAAACGTAGATCTTCATTTTGCGTCTGCGTATACGAATTACTTTGCAATTCACAAATTATGTAGAGACAACTTTAATTTTTACGGAAACATTCATGATCTATACTCATATAGCAATTTTTCATTTAAAAAAAAAGAGAAAAAGAAACTATTTAGAATCTAGAACATATTTGTTATGACAAATATTAATTATTTTATTTTTCATTTTTTTTCTGGGTTATTCTAAATCCAGGCAATTGATTTATATATATTTTACTTGAAAGAGACGATATTTCTGACGATATTCATTACTATAAAATGTTGCAATGATGCAACGTTAATATTGTATACAATTTTATTATATTCGTAGTACTCATAAATACTTATTATAACTCAAACCCACAAGAATTCATTATTAAATACCTCGCATCTTCAAATCAGTATTCACTATTCAATCGATAAATTCTATTATTCGATATATGAGGAGCAGACTTTCAAAATGCATTTTATCCAAATTTGTAATTTTCAGAAAATGAGAAAGAAAGAAATTACGCACATAAGAAAACTACGCACTTTACAGAAAATAATATGTCAATATAGTACTAAACTAAATCGAAAAGTCCTTTACCATTTTACAATTTTCGCAATTAACAAGATATTAATTACTAAAAATAGTCGAAAATTGGTCTTCAATAATTTTTTACTCAAATACTATCAACTTTACAGAAAAACTGTAACAGACAAAAATTGTTTATTTTCTTTTTATAAAATTCTAAGAATTTTTCCAGAAATTTTTCAGAATTTTTGAATACCGTATTTTTTCATATTTGTAAAAATAAGAAAACGTAGTACTAAAAAGTTCATGAAAAATTCTGAAAAAATTCTTAGAGTTTATATATGAGAAGAAAATAAATAATTTTTGGCTCTTACAGTTTTTCTGTGAAGTTGATAGTATTTGAGTAAAAAATTATTGAAGATCAATTTTCTACAATTTTTAGTAATTTAATATCTTGTTAACTATTGCGAAAATTGCAAAATGGTAGAGGACTTTTCGACTCAGTTTAGTCCGTTCTATCTACACAAAAGTGTTTGGCAAAAAAGGAGCACTCTATATATGTACATACATATATGCATACGTATATATATATATATTACATATAAGAAACATGAATGTCAATATCTCAATAGGACGAATGCATTTCGCAAAGTAGACTAGGATACGTATCCATCACGAGATCTTACCAAGTCGAGTACATTGAGATTTTTCTTATTATCTCGCAATGAAAATTATTCACCAGAATAAAAGCGCGATGTAATTATCGACTCTGAAAATGTTACATAGTCGACGTACACCTCGGAGCGAGAACGAACGAGCACTCACATAATGCGATTACAAAATTTCATCTGACAAGATTCTCCCATCTCGCTAGAATGCACTTCGTATAAGTACAACGATTTCGTGCTCGAAAAACACTTCTCGCTTTCAGTCATAATTTTCGAACATCATGTCGTGCCCGCGTTCTCCGAGTAATCACGTGAAAGACAAATTGAAAATATCCCTTAATCAAACTTTACGAACACGATCGCCATCCATGTCTTATATCTAACTTTTTGACGAGGGATAAACATTTTTGACAGTTTATAACAGATGTGAGTGTCAAAAATGTAGCAAAACTCTTTACGAGAAAAAGACTAAAATAAATTGTGTTATACATCTTAAACAAGTTAAAATATATTCTTGTTGAAAAATTACATATTAATGAACAGTTATTCTCTTTAAAAACATTCTTTAAAATCATTTTAAAAACATAACATACTAACAGAAAACGAATATGCCAATTAGCTTTTAATTGTGCACTATTATATTGTTTACTTTAGTATCTATAAATTACGTGATTCTGTTACAAACTCCTCATTATAGCATTTACTGGTCGAGATGTACAAAATACGCTACATAATTTAATTGCGTGTAATAATTAGAGAGGAAAATGTATTTTTAAACTACAAGCAAAAATTACTGTTTAGTTTAGTGTCACGAATCACTATTTTCATCACTAGTAAATATGTTTAATTGCAAATTAGCGTACACTATTCCAAATACATTAAAAAATCTAATTAAAAAAGGGAAAAATAAGTTGGAACCGTTACAGAATCAAAATGTTTACAAAATCTCATGCGATAACTGTGATGTAAGTTACGTGGGCCAAACGAAAAGGAAGTTGCAGACATGACTGCATGAGCACGTTTCCAACATTAACAAAAAAGCAAAATTCCTATCGGTTATTTCTAATCACCGCATTGAGGAGAACCATAATTTCAAATGGGACAATGTCAAAATCTTGGACATAGAACCGTCTTACAAGAGATTAATTTCGGAAATGATGCATAT